GAGAAAGCGGAGAGGAGGTCAGTGTATGACATGGTGTTGTGGCATGAAAGAGAGCTGCAAAGGGCTAGCTTTTGTTGGTCCTTCACGACTCCCTGGTTGGGGTCCGAGAGATAGTGCAACACAGTGGCTAGACCCGATCGTTGCTGCTACCTTGACGTGGTGGTCGGGCTTGCCTATCGTGATGAAGCAATCGAGCTATGCTGGCTGGAACAGTCGTTCCTCGAGGTCCTACCATGCCAGACAGGTCGGTTGAAGAGCGGTGAGACTAAAAGCAGCAAACCCATGGTCCGAAGGCGAAGTCGTACTGCTGACTGTACAGAGGTGTGACGGCAGTAAGGTGTTTCCTTCAGACAACCAGCATGACAGCGATGCTGCCTTCCCACAAGGAGGGGTGGGGTTAGAAAAGGTCGACCCTAAAAATGCACACCTCGCCTTATCCCACGGATTTCCGTCTCCGGCGGTAAGTTTTTTTTTTGAAGAACGGAGCTAACACAAAAACTACCCACAAAAAGGTCGTGTGTGACCGACCTCAAGCAGTTGTCCCTTGGGCACTGCGGTCACGCTCTCAGGTGATTAAGACCACTCCTAACCCAATTTCCTTTTCAGGTACCTCTAGAAGAATCCTTCCACGGTGTGGGCAACCGGGAAGTGATAACTGCCCTCATACCTCTAACAACACTCAAGACCACTGTATTCATAATCAATCTCCTTCTTTACTTCCTACTATTCCCTCTACCTTGACTTTCAACACTAAACTTCCTCTCTCGGTTTCCTCCTCAAGTGTAATCATGGCCTACGATTCTAGTGCGCGAAACGCTGTCCCAGGTCTACTTAAACCTCGCTCCAAACTACACATTGGGGCCTTCAACGTACGTACCCTATGCCAAATCGGTCAACAGGCCTCCTAAGCTAAAACCCTAGAATCTCGTACCATTGATGTATGCTGTGTTTCCAAAACACGCATACAGGATCCCAGTGTGGTCATTCACTTGACCTCACCTCGCCAAAATGGACAGCCGACGAAATACACCCTCCGTGTATCTGGCGACCCGTTGGCTAGTTCTCGCGGACTTGCAGGTGTAGGCATAGCACTAAGTACAAGGGCAGAACAGGCACTACTAGAATGGATCCCCGTTAACAGTCGCCTGTGTGCTGTCCGGCTAAATGGCTCCATAAGAACTCGGAAGGATAGGGACACACATCGTTGCCTTTTCGTCGTTTCTGCCTACGCTCCCACTGACTGCAGCCATGATGAAGTAAAAGATGACTTTTACAGAAAACTCTCTGAGCTTCTTCAGAAAGCTAAGCGCTCAGACATAGTAGTCGTAGCGGGTGACTTTAATGCCCAGGTAGGCAGCTTAAATCAAACAGAAAGACATTTAGGTGGGTGTTTTAGTATTCCGGCTCAACGAACCGATAATGGTGATCGTCTGTTGCAACTATGCTCATACAATCGTTTATTTTTAGCAAGCACTAATTTTAAACATAAGGAGAGACATCGTCTAACATGGCGACCACCTGCACCAAACCAACGATGGACTCAAATAGACCATATTGTCATCAGTCATCGTTGGAGAGGCTCAATAGAAGATTGTCGCTCGTATTGGAATACTTGTTTAGACTCTGATCACGCTTTAATACGAGCACGCATTTGTCTGCGCCTCAATGGACGCAGGAAAAGTACACTAAGAAGACCCATTAGGATTGAACTAGAGGACGAGAAAGCCAAATGCGAATTCCAGAAGCAACTGAGTTCACATCTAGGCAGTTCTGTAAACGAGACTGACCCAGATGCTGCTTGGAAAGACACACGAACAGCTGTGGAAACGGCAGTAACATCTATTAGTCATTTAAACCATAGGGCTCCAAAAAACCAGTGGATTTCCTCTAAGTCTATTTCACTGATGGATTCGCGTAAACTCATCCCATCAGGCTCTGAACATGACGAAGAGCGTAAACAAATTAGATCTAGGTTAACTAAAAGCCTAAGGAACGATCGTGAGCAGTGGTGGGCAACGAAAGCAAAAGAGATGGAAAAGGCAGCGGCTGTAGGAAACACCAGGCAACTATTCAGACTAATAAAAGAAACCCGAATTAAGAAGTCAAGTGTGAGTGAGACAATCTCGGAAAAAGACGGAACCCTTATCTGCTCTCAGCCTAAACGTTTAGAACGATGGGCGGAACACTTTAAGGAGCAGTTTAGCTGGCCTTCAGCTACTGCACAACTACCCACTATTCCCAGAAAACCTGAATGGAACACTTCCCGGTTGCCCACACCGTGGAAGGATTCTTCTAGAGGTACCTGAAAAGGAAATTGGGTTAGGAGTGGTCTTAATCACCTGAGAGCGTGACCGCAGTGCCCAAGGGACAACTGCTTGAGGTCGGTCACACACGACCTTTTTGTGGGTAGTTTTTGTGTTAGCTCCGTTCTTCAAAAAAAAACTTACCGCCGGAGACGGAAATCCGTGGGATAAGGCGAGGTGTGCATTTTTAGGGTCGACCTTTTCTAACCCCACCCCTCCTTGTGGGAAGGCAGCATCGCTGTCATGCTGGTTGTCTGAAGGAAACACCTTACTGCCGTCACACCTCTGTACAGTCAGCAGTACGACTTCGCCTTCGGACCATGGGTTTGCTGCTTTTAGTCTCACCGCTCTTCAACCGACCTGTCTGGCATGGTAGGACCTCGAGGAACGACTGTTCCAGCCAGCATAGCTCGATTGCTTCATCACGATAGGCAAGCCCGACCACCACGTCAAGGTAGCAGCAACGATCGGGTCTGACCTGACCTGAATGGAACATTGAAGTAGGCCCCCCGACCCTACTTGAAGTTCAAAAGGCTATAGGTAATCTGAAACGAGGAAGAGCAGCTAGTTCTGATGGATTGGTTCCAGAGGTTTTTAAATACGGTGGTCCAATTTTAGCGATTAGGTTGACTAATATTCTGGCTAAAATCTGGGAGACGGATGTAATCCCATCCGACTGGTCACAATCACTGATTGTCCCAATATATAAAAAGGGGTCAAAATCATCCTGCGATAACCATAGAGGGATTAGTCTGACTAATATAGCATCTAAAATACTAGCCTCAATAATTATCGGGCGCCTAACTAAGACTCGTGAACTGCAAACACGAGAAAATCAGGCTGGCTTCAGACCTGGTCGTGGCTGTATCGACCACATATTCACCATTCGTCAAGTTTTAGAGCACAGACATGCTTATCGGCGTCCGACAATGATAGTTTTTCTTGACTTGAAAGCAGCATTTGACTCTGTAGACCGAGAGGTTCTGTGGCAGTGTCTGTCATTGAAAGGTGTACCTGAGAAGTACATAAACCTTTTGAAGGCTCTTTACTCGAACACTATCAGTCGAGTGAGAGCTTATGGCGAACTGTCATATGATTTTACAACCTCAAGTGGTGTCCGTCAAGGCTGTCCACTATCCCCATTTTTGTTTAACTTCATTATAGACCTGTTGCTGGAAATAACACTCTCTTCGACTGAATTTACAGGAATTGATCTCCAACCAGGGGGACCACTAATCGACTTAGAATACGCAGATGACATAGTCCTGTTTGGTGAAGACGCTGGCAAAATGCAGAGTCTTCTGTTGGAACTCAGTAATAATGCCAAGATGTTTGGGATGCGTTTCTCCCCATCCAAATGTAAATTGTTACTCCAGGACTGGCCTGCGTCAACACTCGAACTAAGGATAGGGAGTGAAGTAGTCGAACGCGTCGACAACTTCACTTACCTTGGAAGTCTGATCAGCCCTAATGGGTTGGTGTCAGACGAAATCTCAGCACGGATTTAAAAAGCTCGTTTGGCTTTTGCCAACTTACGTCACCTATGGCGTAGACGAGATATCCGTCTATCAATTAAGGGACGAGTATACTGCGCATCAGTTCGTTCTGTTCTACTTTACGGCTGTGAAACATGGCCATTAAGAGTAGAAGATACTCGTAGGTTACTAGTATTTGACCACAGATGCCTTAGAAATATTGCTCGCATCTGCTGGGATAACCGGGTAAGTAATAGTGAGGTTAGACGCAGGGTATTAGGGAACGATGGTAAATCAGTTGATGAGGTGATGAATCTTCATCGATTGAGATGGTTGGGCCATGTGTTACGTATGCCTGAACACCGATTACCACGACGCGCTATGATGACTAGTGTAGGGGATTGTTGGAAGAGAGTTAGGGGCGGCCAAACCAAAACATGGCATCAGTGTTTGAAGTCACTAACTTCTAGCCTGAGCCATGTTGGCAGATGCAGACTACCTGGTTGGGGTCCGCGTGACTATCGTAACCAATGGTTGGAGACTCTAGGTGACATGGCTCAGAATCGGTCACAATGGCGTAGGTGTATACACTCTTTATCTTCCCTTAAACCTTGAGACTAAAATTGCTTCATATCTCTCTTCCTTCCTGTACTATATCCTTATATACAACCTATAATTTATATACTACTACCACCACTAAATTAATTACTTCTATGAATCCGGTGTTCATCTTGTTGTGCTAACGAGGTATGGCAACTTGGACCGATGCATATATGTGCCTGGTCCTACGTTGTAGCTGACCGACTGACAGTGGCTAGAGACGTTATCGGATATGGCTCAGAATAGAAGCCAGTGGCGATCCTGCTGCAACCTTCTTTTACTTTCTACATAAAGAATGGTTCTAACTTTCTTAACTGAAAGAGTCTTCTGGTTGTACATTTCAGCCCGCCTTATCTTTTCATCCTTTATCTACCTACTTTCATTATTTTGTGTGGCGCATATGTACCTGGTGCCCTTTTGTACCAATATATATGTGTTTAAATAAATAAAATAATAAATAAACCTGGGCAGTATCACAGCCCTCACACAAATCTAATGAGATTTGTGAGGCGCATATTTATCTGGTGCTTCCTTGTACCAATATTTATGTGTTTAAATAAATAAATAAATAAATATACTGAGTGATTTATAAGCCAGAAAATTATCGGTGCTTTAAACTGACCTCTCCACTAAATCCACTTCTTCGTATCTTCTCTCTTATCAAAATTTCATAAACCTGACGATTCTCCATTTTACGAGTATCTAGTAGAGTAGAGACACGTCTTTTTATTATTTGAGTATCATCAACTTCCATGCAAGCTCTGCAACAATTTGGCAACCATACTTCTACAGACAGTAGTTAGACCTACTTTATAAAATTCATCGCAGCTTTTTCACCCAATGTCTTGGTCAATATAGACTTTACTTTTTCCATTACGATCTGCGGAATTAGTGCACATCCATATCAATCGTTACTGGAAATCATAAAACACACATCTTAACTAAATATTAACGAAGTCATAGAGAGTTGAAAGTAGTTAAGAACTTACAAATGCAGCCAATAACGTCCTAACCACAAATCCATAGCTTTACTGAAATGTGGAGACAACAATGTGCCTTCTATGGAAGAGCTCTAATCTTAGAGGGCGTAAAATCGGGAAGTACCAATCGTTTACAGGGCTGTTATCACTAACAAGTTAACAATATCCACAATCAGACAGTAGTTATGAACGAGAAAGTACCACGTTTCGACATACAACCATTGTTAATAATCAATGGTTGGGGACTGGGTGAAATGGCTCAGAATCGATCACAATGGTGTAGGTGTATACACTCTTTGTCTTCCCTCAAACCGTGAGATTAAACTTGTTTTACATCTTTCCACCAACTAATTCTTTCTTCATGTACTACGTCCTTATACATAAACTTCCTTTTATATATTACTACAATTGAAGTAACTACTTCTATGAATTTAGTGTTTATCTCGTTGTGCTAATGATGTGTGGCAACTTGGACCGATGCATATATGTGCCTAGTCCTACGTTGTAGTTGAATGATTAACTGTAAGACATAAGAAATAGGATTGGAATGTGACGCGCTTTTATCATGAATTATAAGCAAAACGAAGTAACTTTTTGTTCAGAGATAAGCGCAAAGTCTAGAAAACATAGGCTTTATTGTAAGAATCCTGTGACTTGAGGACAACAAATATGTCCTGGGTAGTGCTTAATTGGAAGGTAAAGAGACAAAAGAGGACCAAAGGTCGCGTCTATGATTTCTAATTAGTTGACCTAACTATCCAACGTATTTTGTTTATTATGTCACTTCCCCAGATTCCTCCTAACAGGTTGTAAAGACTATACAAATAAATATTTCAAGAATGTAAGTCAACACACCGCACGTAGTTACTGAAGTATTAGGTAAGGTGTTTTATGTAAGACTTAGAAACTCACTACCTTTGGGATTACTAGTACGTAGTCCTGGAATTAGGAATATTTCAGTTAACAGAAGAAAGACTTTAAAGCAATTAGTCCTTCTTATAGATTTCGATAGAGCAATGAAAGGAGTTGATCTAAAACTGTGATGTATTTACCAAATACATATAGAACAATCTCGTCACACATACTTGTCAGGAAATTTTATATGAAAAGGTCAATTAAATGAAGGTACAAGCGAATAAAGGGTGTGATTAAACTATACTGCCGAGCCAATCAGAAGCTTTCGCGGGTTTTCAAGGTCACGGCGCTAAGTTCGGTACCTGATGCTTACGTACGGTCGGTTTACAGCGAATTTTAGGGAAGACGTGATAATTTAGGGTCTACAATAGAAGTCATCATAAGATTTTGGCGCGAAATTCAATTATCCATTTGGATAAATAGAGTTTTCAGTCTTCAGTAATAAAGATAGTAGGTTGATGAACCTGTGTTAATCCTGACAGATTTCCTTCCAGTGAAGGTCCAGCTTCTTTTTGAAGATGTTCACTGATGGTGCTGATACCACTTGTTCTGGTAAAGCGTTCCAGTCATTGACCACTCGATGAGAAAAACGGGACCCCACCTTTAATTTATTAGATCGCGGTTTCAGAACCTTCTTGCTATGACCCCGGAGATTATTAGTGCTGGAGGGAGCAAAAAGGTAAGACATATTAACACCCAGATCATAATTAAAGATACGAAATGCCAGTATAAGGTCACCTCGCGTCCTACGATAAGATAAGGGGAAAAGATTTAGACGTTTTAAATGCTCATCGTAAGGGAGTTTGGAAAGACCCTTTACTAATTTTGTCCCTACACGCTGGAGTCCTCGCCAGCGTTATAGCTGAGTCCTCGAACTGATTTCTTGGCTCGCCGTTGGACACGCTTCAGAGTGTGCCTATCCTTTTACAGTGGGGGAGGAAATACTATGTTTCCGTATTTTAAGTGGGACGAATAAAACTGTTGAAGATTATGTGGAAAGTTCTTCTATCAAACTGGCTAAAAATGCGCTTCAATGTTACCAGTGCAAGGTTTGCTCAGAAGGCATTTTTGTCTCACTTCGAGTAAGACTTCAAGTCGTAGGGTACCAAAACTCCTAAATCTTTTTCAATGAGGGATACTTCTAGAGATGAGTTGCTTAAGTTGTAATTGTAGTCTGTAACATGTCTCAGATGGACTACTTTACACTTTGAAGTGTTAAAAGTAAATCTGTTAACATCTGCCCAACTTCGAATTCGAGTCAGATCCTCCACAAGTGCCAGTATACCCTCTCGGTTGCGTATCTCACCCCAAAATTTTACATCATCAGCAACAAATTTGACGATAACTGTTGTGGAGGATCGTGTATATAAATCAAGAAAAGTAGAGTTCCTAGTATTGAACCCTGGAAGACTTCAGTAGGACATTTCATAGCCTGAGAGAAAGTGAAGTTAACCCTGACTCTAAAATGTCGATTTTTTAAATATGAAGTTAGCCAATCGAGTAAAGGTGGTTTGATACCCAATCGTTTAAGCTTATTCATAAGATATATAAGGTTGACCCTATCAAAAGCTTTTGAGAAGTCAAGGTAAACGATGTCAACCTTCCTCTTGCAATCAAGGATGGTTGTCTGTCTGTCCAGCATCGTCAGCACGTTGTCTATACGAGAGTGACCTCTTCTGAAAGTGTGCTGTTTGGATGAAAAGAATTTTAAGAATAAAAAATGGTCGTGCATACTGTCGCATATCACGGATTCCATAAATTTTACGGGTATAGAGAGAAGAGCCACTGGTCGGTAACTTGAAGGTTCGCTGCGTCAACCTCCTTTGAAAATTGGTGTTATGTGAGCCAGCTTCAAAATTGCTGGTAATGTACCTGGGTGTGGCAAGTTTGGTGGCATCACGCTAAGCGGTGCTGCCGAGATTGTAACTGCTTCCCTCAGTATAGCAGAATGAATTATATCTGGACCAGGAGAAGTGTCCTTTTTAGGTGCTGCAGTTTCCGGTACACCAAGTTTGTGCTCAGGTTCATTTCGGGAAGTCCTGAGAAGTTGCAGATAAAGCTTTCACAAATATAGTTAATGTGGGTCAGTTGAAATGCTGGAGAGTATTGTTCAGATAGAAGGCTGATACATTCAACTGTTTGTAATTCCAGCGCATGTTGTTGGTAGGCTGTCTTAGCTCAGTTTCGCTGATAAAACTGAAGGCCATAACTGCCTGGTCGTTTCTCCCTGGGAGCGCCAGAAGTGAGAGGTTTTGAATAGGATTTATTCATAATCTAGTTATTAAAGCTACGTACAGTTACGGAATCATGATCCAGTAAACTCACTATATAACGTACGTCTTTATCCACAAACATACGTAAAAAATGGTACAATATTTCCTTGCCTTCACACCTGGAGGGTCTCGTGAGTCACTCTTTCCTGTTTGATTTTCTGGGTACATTGTTTGTGTAGTGGCATCCGAAGCACTCTAGTCAGAAACGAGCCTGAATCATCGCTCACACTGAATTGCAAAATGTCTCACATTTTTCATCCTGGATCATGTAATCTCATAACGTCTGGGAAGAGTAGGTATGTTATATATGATCCCATTCCCTAAAAGTTTTACACCCGCCATTAGGAAACTTATGGAAGTCGTAAATTTGAAATTCAATGTCATTGAAACCGTTGGTAGGCCAAGTTTGAAACGGAGCCTCAATAAATATACATTTGCCGAATATCAGCTCTCTGAGTTCAAGGATTACCTATTCTAAAGCTTTTAGACCAATGCGTGGGAATTTAGTAGGAGAGGAACAATATCGGACTGCGTTATAAACATACTCAATTCGATTAAGAGAAGTGTCATCCTGTAGCGAGGAAAAGTATATTATGTCCACAAGGACTTCAGAATTGACGAATGTGAGAGATTTGTCAAACCACAACCGTAAAAACCATAATATGGAATGATTGGATGAGTATATTTATGTAGCCTTCAAAAAGAAGATTGATGTAGTTGTCGTCTAGACCGAGTGCTTCAAGAATGTATCGAAATTGGTCAGCGTCATACATAAAATTATATACACAGTATTCCCGACTATTCAGTGATGTAGCTGTGGCGGTGATTCATGACCTCGTAACAAGAACAAGTAGCAGAAGTGTTTCCTACGACTCGGCAGCTTTCAGCATTGCTTATCGATTGATGCTTCACACACTCAGGGAGTTGCTCTGATGCTGTCCAAACATACACAAATACACTTATAGGATGGGAATCTCATGCATCCATGATCATCAAAGTATCCTTCAAAACAAACAAGGAGGGAATCACAATGAATTTTATTCAATGTTACGCACCCACCAAAAATAGCAAAGACGACGATAAAGATCAATTCTACAAGAGTCTGCAATCGATCATAGCGAAATACTCAGGGAAGGACCTGACAATCTTGATGGGAGATCCAAACGCCAAAGTCGGAATGGATAACGACGGTTATGAAGATATCACGGGGCGACATGAACTGGTTGAGAGAAACGAACGAGAATGGTGACATATTTGCAAATCTGTGTGCATTCAACAATATGGTTGTAGGCGGCACAATACTCCCACACAGATGCATACACAAAACTACATGGGTCTCGTCGGATCACACTACACGGAACCAGACCGATCATACTTGCATTACTAAAAGATTTTAAAGGTTAGTGGAGTACGTGAGAATCAATAGAGATGTCGACATAGACCACCACCTGGCTGTGGCTAAGATGAAACTGAAACTAAAGAAGCATTGGACAACTGGACAAACAGTATTACAGGGGTTTAATACAGCCTACCTAAGTTATACTAACAAACTGAACCAGTTGAAAGACTCATTGGACGTCCAACTTCAAGATCAACATCCCGAATTTCGTAAAGATTTATCGTGTACTTACCAAATCACGATATTACGGAGCATCGCTGAACAATAAATTGAATGGAACTCGTCACTATTAATCAACTTCCTTAAT